GAATCAGATCCCTTCATGCGTGGATATGCAACAGCTGACTCAGTTCCCCAGAATCCGTCCCTAGCCCCGAGACAGCACTGGGGTGAGCTCAGGCATCAGCAAGGGAACCCCATCCTGCACGGGGCAGAGGAGGGGTGCCCGGTGTGGGCGGCAGGTTTCAGGGGTGATGTGGAGCAGACTTGCTGCCGTGTCTCACAACCACAGTCCCAGTGAGAGGTTTCCCCGTCTCTCGTTCCCCTGTTTGCGAGTGCCTGTGCAAGCCGAGCAGCTCGGAGCGCGGGGAAACCAGCTATTCCAGACAGCCAATAATATTATGCAAGCAGGTGTTGATAGGAGCTCCCCTAGTGCTCAGTACATCGAGAACTAAATCAGGAGCAGGTAGGTAAAAATAATCAAATTGGCGGCATGACAGAGGAGAGGCAGTTAGGAAACCTGCTCTGGACAGCAGGATCCAGTTCTTGCAAGAGCTGCCCCAGCCCTGTGCTGCTCAGCTCCTCACTCCCCTGCTGCTCCAGGAAGGGACACTTCCCTCACTAAACAGGGGCTGAGTCCATAATGCGGCCGTGTGTAAATAAGGGCATGCCCTACTCCTCGAGAGTGCTTTATGTGCCCGGCCAGAACTGGGCAACCGAGCTCAGCCTTGTGTCCACCTAGCCCTTTCTAGCACCTTGGCAATACACCTCCACTTAGTGGCTTCCTGGCCACGCACTGCCATGGCAGTCTGCAGCAAGGGGAAAACCTTGCTCCCTCCACGTACAGATGAGCCAACAGAGATGCAAGGGAGCAGTTTGCTGAACACAGCAGTGCGACACTGGGAGCCAGGTCTCCTGCCTTCCACGCACTGGTGTGGCAGCTACTGGACTTTACAGCCTCGGGTGTTTGTAACGGGTCCCAGGTCTGGCGAGCGCCAGCGGCTGCTCCACCCAGAGCCAAGGGGGGTTAACGGCAGGCCTGGGATTTTGTTCCACTTGGCCTTGTCATTGCCCCAGGCCCTTCCTTACACCGCAGACACAGCGAGCTTGGACAGGGAGCTGCACAGAGACAAGGCCTTGCACTGCTCCAAGTCCAGCCCTGACCCAACCATCTGGTCAGTCAGAGCCCCCTCAGCAAGGCTCAGGCTCAGTCAGGCCCCGACCCCGAGCCTCTAGAACTGCTTTGGCCAAGAGAGCGGTAGGTCGGCAGACGAGACATGGTCACATCCGAACCCAGAGACAAGAACCAGCGTCTTCAGAGCTCTCAGACCTTTCCCCTTAGCTGGGCGCTTGCCCAGGGCAATTCATGCTGTAAACAGCAATAACAGCAGGAGGCAGGAAACAAAAGGCAAAGAACAACCACAAGAATCTTCGCTTTTGTGTCATGAGGCAGAGGAAGGATGGGAGAGGCACAAACAATGAGATTCGCCCCTCACCTGCTCAGGATCATTGGAACAGCATGTACTCTGGCAAGACGGGTGGTTTGCTGTTCCAGGCACTGCCGGTTTATAGAGAGTGTTTGACAAGCCAATAAAACAGAACGTGTGTCTCAGGCTCCTGAGTCAAGCTGTCAGACTCGGGTGTTTCTTCAAGTTGATGGACTGGCGCACGCAGGTCTGCGTGATTCTTGGCAGGGAAGAGGCGAGTGCTTAGATTTTCAGGCAGCCCGACCTGCCCCACGAACTGATCTGGCCCATCTCAGCCGGTCGCCCACTGCCAGGTGCCGGGAGCAAAGCCGCTCGTGTAACAGAGTCCTCAGTTCAGTGCCCAAACCAGAAACTGGGGGAAAAGATCCAGGTCAACCCGCAAAAACACAAGCAGAGCTTTAATTTAGGGCTACTGAGAATGTTTGCTGCCTTTCCTTTTTAGACTGGGTCCATTTTCAACACAAAGGCCTTCTTAAAAGCACGGATTTCTTAGGGTAACCTCCTGTACTGGACCAACCGCGCAGCTGGGCGGGAGTCCGACAGGCTTCTGAATGCAACACACTCCTGAGCAGGTCTGAGCAGTAACTTTTAAAACATTTCTATGGTTTTCAAACTTCCTCTGTCCCTTCCAGCCTGAGCCCCATGCCCAGTTTGATCTGAATTTGCAAACAGCTTTGAACTCCTCCCCCCCAGCCCCCAAAAGCTGCATCCTGTTGACTGAAAAAAAGAGTCACCCAGGTGTGGCTGGGAGAGTTGGAGGAAAGGATCTCTCCTTGCCTCAGAAGAGCCTGCTTTTGGGGAACACCAGAGTAGGGGGCTATACACGAGAGCCGCAAGGAAGAAGGGGCTCCGGGGAGGCTGATCCAACCCTCTGCACTGATGCAGGATCAGACACATGCCTTGCAACAGCAGCAGGACCTGGAAGAACTACTGTTGGAGACAAGAGAAGCACTCGGTGTTGCATCTCAGTAGTGATGTGCCCTGAGGAACAGGGGGCAAGAGGAGAGGAGCCCCCGAACGCAAAGGGCAGACATAGATCAGGGAAGCCCAGGAGAGAGAGGACCTTGTGGGACGGAGGCAGCCTGGGGCTTGGCAGGGTGCTCACTGCAGACTAGTGAGGGCAGAAGCCAGCTGGAAGTGATGAAGCTGAGCAGCAGTGCTGGGATGGCAGCACAGAGAAAGGATAGCTCTCTCCAAGCAGACTGGGAGGAGAGAGCGGCAGCAGGAGCCAAAGGTGAAGTGGAGCAAGGGAGGGTTTGTTCTCAAAAGGGACAGGAAGAGCAAGGACAAACGCTGAGGAAAAGAGCTGCCAGTTTGGGATAAAGGCAGAAGAGGGTAAGCAGTGGGGGGCAAGAGGGATGTGCCCGTGGGATGGGAGGGTGAGAGCTCAGACCTGGTTCAGCA